ATAGCTGGACAACACTTAGACCTACTGTTTGCATTTTCGAACTTGAATATTAGTACCACGTGCTTAAATTGAAGTTCCTAACTGGAATGTTATCATCAATAAATAATACCATCCACCTAAGAGCACTTTTAAATTTTTCCTGTATCCAGAGTGAGAACGGCAGTCAATTAAAAATTACATCTTTGTTTGAAGGTAAATATTTTAAGAAAATAAGTGTTTTTTTAAAATCGTTCAACCTGTAGTTAGGTTTCTAACTGCTGATAGAAAGATCTACTCAGCAAATAGATATTAAACACAGCTTCCTTTACTAATAATCCTCCGATCTTATATTTGTATGGTACAGATTCAGCTAACCGACATAGTAGTAAACCCTAGTTACTGCAAATTATCATCTGCTCATCTTGTAGATCATAGTGTGTTATTGTGTGCTACGCCGAACAAAAAGTTACCGAAGAATTAAAACGTCTTAATCAATATATATATATATATATATATATATATCATAAAGATAGAGATGAAGGTGATGTTGAAATTAATAAAATAGAAGTAAGATTACTAAGAAAAGAAATTTATCTCAAGTGGCATGTGCCGTGAACATTTGCGCAATGATGAGCCGTATAATAAACATGAACTGAACAAAATAAAGCAGAGTTAAATAAATTCAATAACAGTGTCATAATATTGTAATCGTTTTTACAGTCCACGGAAGTTTACGTTTTGAAAATCTTAAGCTTTAGCCTCAAAATATTTGAACAAACTAACCAAATCGAGACTCACAATCGCTGCTTTCATCTTTATATTTCGTCATTTTGTGTTTCATCTCAACAGCTGATTTTTCCTACTTGTGTTGTGGTGTAGTGCGGGATGTATTATCATCTGCATTGAACGATCGATTTGTTGAGAATTCATCACCACTCAATTCGATAAATACGTAAGCGTTTAATATGCACATGTATATATATGTATATATATGGATGCATGTATTTAGTTGGTCTGATCAGCCTTCAGAATTATGAATTGAAACATATCCGTCAGTAAGTATACTCTTCCTAGTCGAATCCAATATCTTCTGTTTGATAACCTTTTCAGCATATTAATGTACGCACACACACACACACACACACACACACATGGAGGGTTTCTTTTCTCTTGTTTTCGACACGAGTCCAGGATGGAATGATTAAATGGAAAGCAAGTTAGATGGTGTAGAGCAGTAAAATTGTTTTGAATTGTGTCAGTGTTTCCAATACGAAAAGGACGTTTTTGTAACTGTTTTACCTCGTAATGCATGACTCACGTGAAATAATTACTCGAGTGTCAGTCAAAGTGCTAATCATCCAACACTTGTACAACAATACTGCATGCCAAGTAATCCATAACGGAGAACTCATGGATTCCTTCGAAATAAAGACGGGAGTAAGACAAGCTGCTTGCCTAGTATCTCCAATGATTTTCCTGATTGCGGTAAGCTGAATAGCGTGACGAAGAGGGGGCAACTGGGAGACATGCATAAAATGGGCACACACAATACTTGGAAGATCTGGACTTCGCCGATGATATGTGTCTGTTTTCCCACAAAGTGGAAGATATGCAGCAAGTTGGTGGAAGAAGCATCAAAATACGACTTCAGGTGAACATAGAGAAAACAGAGGTGATGAAGATTCCTGGTAAACAGCAGCAATAACAGACAAAAATCAGCATAAATAGGAGAAATCTGAAAGAAGCAACCTTTTTTACCTACCTAGAAAGTATCATTTCACCTACATTTGGGACTGATGAGGGTACCAAAGCGGGGATCGGGAAAGTAAGGTAAGCCTACATTACTCACAGGTCTGGGTGGAGGTCAACAGAACTCGGATTTTCAACTCCCGTATAAAGTCAGTGCGACTATACAGTTCAGAGACTGGGCGCGTCACGAAGGGCCAAGGTTTGACTTAATAATAGGTTACTGCTGAAATGCAGAGCTGAATTTTGGTTTCTATTTTTCTCATTTCAAAATACGAATAAGAAAAGGCTTAAAATTTCAGTTACTCCTTATTAAGGTTCTAATAGTGTTTACCTACAACGCATATGAAAATCAGATAAACTCTGTCTTTCCGTTAATTTGTATTTCTTACAGGAAGTACTCTATCAACAACAGATTCACTTATGATGATCCAGGCATTTTTCAGGCACTTATAAAAACATTCAGAATTTAGTTCATTTAGTGTTGCCTCAGGACCCTTTTTCAAAAAATAGCCGGTAACTTATTTCTCACTTGATGCTGTCTTTTGTTCCTCTACACATTTACTGTGTTACGCAGAATTTTTGTATTACTCATGGGACAAACACTCGATGGAAATACTTCCGTGAGATTCAAAATGGAATATTCACATACTAATATAACTTGTACTTTTAGCAATAAACAAATTGTCGATAATAAAGATCAGGAAAAAAGTAAGTAATCCACTACATGAAGGCCTATTTCACTACAAGCTAACCAATAAAATGAATTGAGTAGTCACGCAAAATCAATGCTTCACTCAAAATGCCCTTAACCTTTTCAGATACCTCTCTGAGGCAAAAATTTGCATCCAGGTAACAAATTAGCGGGTTCCATTTAGTCTGATGATGCTTCTTTTAATATTTTGATTTGCCAACTTACATCTAGGAACTGCAAAATGAAGCTAAGCCTTTAGTAAAACTTTTCCAAAGAGAACTGGATATGATTTATGATATTAACAGACCTTATCTCCATGCCACTAAAATAATGTTAATTAGCTTTTATCTCCATAACTTTAGTTGCACAACTTTTGTTTTCTACCTTTGTCCACTTTCGTATATTCAAGGTAAGCAAATAAATTTGTAGATTAATAACTTGCATAACAGCACACCGGATAGAATAATCACTAGATGACCGAAATCAAACTGACAGTTTTAGCAGATTAAGCCAAGTAGCAAACTAGTTGCTACTACTAAAAACACTCCTTTGAAACTGATATTTACCACTAATTTCCATTGCCTAAAATCGAATAGCACTGGTCAAAAACATTTGCCAGTTACTTCGAAAGGTTGTTTAAATCGCAGACATGTTCGTGAGGAAAACTCTTCTAATCTTCAAAGCATAATTTCACTCGAAAAACTAAAATTGTGTTTGCTTACTTATTTTGAAAATTTAAACATTTATTTCTTTTACGTGAATATGCTTGTTCACTCCACTTTGTGAGAACTATCACTCAATCACTTTCACACTACAAAAGATATATAACTGCAACACTTTTTGACTACCAAGCACATTAATAACCTACACTGTTCTTTTGTTGGTGCAGGCTATAACTTCAAAAGACAAACACCTGGCTAAATATTTCCTGAAATTTCTTACAGTTTTGACTCATGATTCAAGGTGGCAAGAATAAACCAAGCAAATTTTCTGCAGTTATCAGCTTGTGTCACTCTATTTCTGAGGAATTTTTGAAGTATTTTGCACCACTGTTACTGTCTAAGCCATAGAAATAAAATAACGTGCCTCATTTTAGCTCCCTCCTCTTTCCTCAAACATTATAAACATTCAAACATTTAAGTCACTTATCGTGATGTATCACACCAAGAACTAACTCAGAAATTCATACTTGAAATGCTATTTATCAAATCAGTTACAAACTGTTAACAGTGAGACGTCCATGCTGAAAATGTTTTTATAGATATTTGTCAGTCTGAAACTATGCATTTATTAACATGTACTTTATAAGCATCCTCTTTAACAAAACTACTTTAGTAAGTGCTAAGTTCAACAGTTTCAAATTAATTAAGGGAAATTTTGAAGACATTTGAACGTATCTAAACAAGGTATTCACTCATAGTTTTCAAAAATTGCAGACTGATTAGCTACTTAACTACCTTTGTGAAATATTTATTTTGTCACCAGGCAATAACCCCGCCACTTTTTTGTGATTGTTTGATAACAAACCACGGACAGATAATTTTAAAAATAATCAATTGTACATGCATATGCAATACTTGTCTTCTTCCTTACACCTATGAAAGTGAAAGACTACACCCTACTATTACTCCAGAGGCGTCTGCTTTTTCCTATCCAGTGCATAAAAACAGAGAAAACAATCACTTATGTTTTAGTTTTTTTAGTTTTGATTACAGCTTGATTCCACACTATGTTTTTGGTACAAGTATGAAATTTTCAGCATGGATATCGGTAGGCCAAATTTTGCAGGCCGACCATAGATATCAGGTGTGCGTCGGCAGGGGATCGAACCTCGGACCATGTGCATGGTCGGCGAGTGTCCTAACCACTGTGCCACCGACGCATTGAGATTTCAAAAGCTGCCTACTTCTAGCTAGCACAATTAAAAATTAGAGTGAATATGCAACTTTCGCTGCAATAACAACAAGAATAATTACATAATGAGAGTAGCGAATAATAATACCGTTATTTTAAAATATTGTAGTAATCCACAATACATAAATCACATAAAATGCAACCATGTTTTCAAACATGAAGATAATCATGTAATACTCACTGTTTGATTTAAAACTGTGGTCACTGGTATAATTCACCCAATCTCACAAATTCTCTTAGGCAGCTGTGGCAGACTGACATTATTTCATATGATTTCCTAGTTGAATGGGAGCCGTTTATCGCGAAAAAATCACAATATCGGGTCTTAAACGATTAATTCAAGTACACAGAACACAAAGATAATTGTACAGTCTATATAATAAAGCAAGTAATCAGGAAAACTAGAGAGGAAGTGAAACTATTAACAAGCACAGAAATCTCATGACGTAATTTTGTAAATTCTCGCCAGTCCATTACATTTTCAGTTGGTGCGAAATTTCCACTTATTGTTCATAGAGATTTTTACACAAACCAAGAAATTAAAATAGCTTTCTTTTGATACAAACAAGAAAAACTTTACCTTCACGTGAATAACAAAAAAGACACGCACTATATTGTTAATAATATATTTCAATATTTACTGATATTTAGATAGTAAGGGACTTACTTCAGCTTGACAAGCTTGATAGCACAGTTCGTCATACGTTTTTGAAGGCAGGTCAAATACACTTCGAACATATCTGTCGATTACTTCAGGAGTGCATGAAAACTGGTTGCTTGACTTTCCTATTTGATTCCTTAGAGTGTATTGTACCCTGACAAACAAATATTCAACCTGGAATGTAATCCAAAATGTATACGGCGTTACATCAATTTCAGCTCTGTCATCTTTTGGATACTTTGAATCGTCGAAAGTATCACTGTCTGAAACTATTTTCACATTAAGATCTGATGTTATATGCTCTAGTTCCTCACAAGATAAATTCAGAAAATATTTTTTGTCGATCACCATGCATCTGCTAAAATCAAAAATTATAACTGTGCATGAACTACTTCTGTTCCATTGTGAATATCACAGTATGAAAATAACATCAACTGATAGCATTTTCATAAAAGTTCCATTTAATAAAGGTTACCTCACTAGCCGACTTAAACAAAGCATTGTTCAAGCTGCATAACGTCAAATACTATTTTGTTTCACTTGATTTTCTTGATGTATTATTGATAATGGGAAAGACTGAGAGCAAACAGCACTTTGTCGCGTGTATCACACCACAGCATAATTCCAGGAAGAAATAAACTCAAGACGCAAACTTTAAAAAGAGAGTGAATTTCTCACACTCCCGTTTAATTTCGGCTTTTGTTATGTTATGCGCCCCAGACGTCTATGAATTAACTTTAACTCAGTTGATATATGTATGCATGAAATTGCAGTAATAATAGTGGTGTAAAGGAGGTAATATTTGGAGTAGCTAGAAGATTAAGACGAGAATATGAAAAGGAAAAACGGGTTCAGATGTCTAATCATCAAGAGTGTATGAGATTTTAAGGGGATAGTCCCGTTTGGACGCAGTCCTTGTGTTGCTGCATGACTGTTCAACCTACTCTCAAAGCTGTCCAGAGACGGTGCCGTAGCTACATCTGGCGGTAAGGAGTTCCAGGCACGGCAAGCACGCAGTGAAAAGAAATGGGAACTCACTCAAGTCTTTTCTTTCTGGTGAGCTATCCTTCGGGGATTTCCTTATGTACATATTGAGACTACCTTTATTTGGGTGATCCTGTTTATTTGAAATCCTGTATGGAATAATCAAGTCTTCCTAAGCTGATGGCGGCTAAGTGTGAAGAAGCCCAATTTATTCAGCCGTTTATCATATGATCTGGTTTGGAGATTCGTCACGCCTTTCGACTATCTTCAAAAGGTTCGGGTCTTTTCTAAGCAGTGGAGGTGGGATGACATTGTGTACTTCCAAGTGTATTCTGCGTATGTTTTGTACAGTCTTAGAAAGAGCTCAGGAGTGAGTGCACCTAACTGTCTACGTGTAAAGTGTAAAGTGCCCTTACCAAATCCCCCCAGTAATTTACTCTCGCGTCGATTTTTTCCGTTAGAACTAGATCTAAGTACCGCTCTGACGTTGTGCAGGACAAGCTTTCGCCGCAAAGGTTGCAACTTGCATTCCACAGCTTCCAGGTACATAATTTCACCATTCGGCACTTTCAGGTTGATAGTCATACCACTGGCCACCAGTCAGTCTTCTCGAAGCTCAAGATCTAACTGCAGTTTATCTGAGTCTTCCGAGCACCTTAGTGTTCAACTAATCTCTGCGTCTTCGGTGTAAGGAAGATTCGGGAATCTAAGATGGCACGATAGGTAACTGAAAACATAAAAACATCAATTGCCGTGGATACAGTCCTGCGACACTCCTGATGATGAGCTGTACCAGGATGATCGAACTCAAATGACTTTAGTGCAGAATTTCATTCCGTGACAGAAGCGGTTAACTTATTTTTTGTAGAACGTCATGGTGAATTGCGTCAGATGCCTTTTCAGAGTCTAAGAAGATCATATCTCAACATGAGGTCCAATCGTCCCGAGATGATGTTAGGTTTGTAACGCAGAATCTCCCTTTTCTAAAATCATGTTGTGCTTCATGGAATCTACTGGTGCTTCAAGGTGTTCCCTGGTGCGATCATCAACTACTGCACACTACTACCTGGGGGTCATGATTTGGACATTTTTGATGAGTAGTTGGTCACTAGGTAGAATATAATCTAGTTTCCATGACTTTCCAATTGGGCCCCACCTGACGTCGTCTCCAACGTTCTCGGTAGGTCCTGCGTTTTTAGTGGTATGTATTAGATTTCGACCAAATTTTCATTCAGCATACCCCGAGCCAAGTTTCAGGGATTAGGCATTGAAATCTTCAGCTATAGTGATTTGGTCGTAGCCCAAGTGCTGTATTTTGTGATCGTGCTAAGCAGTGGATGGTTGTGCGCTACCCCACAGGTTGCTGACCGGTAGATCCTACCCAATAAGTGCTTGGTGTGGCCTACGGTGAAATGACACCATATAGAGTTTGAGAATTCGGTAGGGAAGGGGTCCCTTGCACGTACACATTTAAGTTGCCCCTCTACATGGCGAATCCCCCCTTTCTTGTTATCTCAGTCACTCCTGACCAGAACCATATCACTTATATTGATTTCGTCGTTAGCGATAGTGGGGGTTAGGCAGGTTTCAGCAAGGATGACTAGGTGTAGGTGTGACTGCAAGTTTGTGAGTTCGCCCACTTTTCATCTCAGCCCTCTCACAGTGCCATAAAGGCAGTGGATAGTGAGTCTCACCACCTTGGTATGTTGTGGGATAGTTGACGCCATGTTGTCTTCTGGTAGGGGATTGAATATTGAGGCTGGTTGGCCGATTCCGATAGATCTGGCCTGTTGTCGGTTTTACCCTTGGATTCACGTAGGACACTTGAGTGACAATGACTATCATTCTCAGTGCCGCATCTCTGTAGTATCGCTGAGGCTTGCAGACGTATTAAGACCTCAGTCTGCTTGCTTTATGTGGTTCGAGGTCTACTTACGCAGCATCGGATATTTTCCCCCATTTTCCCCTCGGTCCCGTACCGCTGTTGAAGTTCTAGAACCAACTGTTCCTGGGAGCTGAATTTGACACTTGGCAGTCTTAATGAAATAATCAGTGTGAGATGAGCGGGACGGGGTAGCTGGAAAATCAAGACTGCCTCAGAAGCACCAACAGCCATCTCCATTGTTGCACGTCATGCTTGTGTTTTTTGCAAGCAGTGGCAGTTTCCAGCTCTGGAACACAATGTACGACCATGGAGGTGGAGGGGATAAGTTCCAGTGACGCCCCTGCCATCTGCCTGTTAGCCCATGGTCTATCATGCCTTATTCTTATGATGAAACCCCTGTCAATAGCTAGCATTTTAGCCAGTAACAGCATTCTTTCAGCCTCTTCGGCAGAGCCCAGTGTCACTCTTAATGGAGGTGACTTACCTTGAGGTGCCTGTACACCCCTATACTGTCTTCACAATTTTGCTGAATTGATGCCCAGCCCTAATTTACTGTGCAACGTAGACCACTATACCTGCACAAGCAGAGGATTTTGTTGAGGCAGACTACCACTGAACACTGGTACATTAAACAGGATAAGGGAATTCGATCGACTGACCTCAGACTTAGGTTTAGTCTTTGGCTGCTTGTATTCCTTTATAGTGTCAGTCAATTTAGACTTCATCAGGTTATGGCTCGTCCTCACTATGTTCTCACGACTGCTAGTAGATACAAGTGGCCCTTTGGCAATTCCGTCTTCCCCTACTGTTTCGAGTGTGTCCTTGGGCGTTACCAGTTTACGAAGATTGATGTTTGTGGTCGGTTGGGCTGGTTTTCTTTTCTACGGCTTTTATTAAGTTTTAATGATGTGGTGTTGTTAGGTGGCACTCGGTATGAGACTGTGCCAGGGCAACAGAAGGGGAAATATACCAGAATCATGAGCACGGGTTATTTCGAAAAAATTAGATGTATGGTTTTGGCACTTCCTTGTTACAACGACAGCGCACACACCGGTTGCGTAAACTGCATTCATATATTAAGTCAGTTGTAGAAACAATAACGCCACAGGCCCGGCATCCATTTCCTTTTCTATAAAACGCTTTCGAGTATTTCTTTTTTGTTTTGCAGTGTGACACACTGGCTTCCCACGGATATATAGGTCCATTTCGTTTTGACTGTATTGTTTCATTGCTGTACTGTGGCGACGAAGGCACCTTATGAGAGCAGAGAACGTGTACACGGGAATTTAGAAACGCTATGCGGGTTAAAAACCCGGGTGACAGTCACGTCTCCTAAACCGTTAATGCCCTGCTCTTGCTACGCTCGGGCTCACGCTGTTCCTTGAAGTTTCTCAGAAACGCTTAGTAATAACGGACGAAAAAACCAAAACACCGATTGGCCACTCGAGAATTCTTTATTGTAACACCAACATATAAAAAATGTTTCTACTAAGGTCTGTGAACAAATATCACAATAATAAATCACAATATTACTTCTGACAGTTTTTTTACTCTTCTTTCTGAACAGCGACCGATGAGACCATGACTGTCGTATTGATGCCTCCGCGAAAATTGGGGAAGTTGGTTTTGAGCAAACAACCATGAATTGATCGTTCAATCTTCAACTACATTGACACTCCCCGTCAAAAAAGGGATCCATCCTTTTTTTCTTCACGACCAATACACGTTGACTTGGATGCCATTGCGAGAACCTGAGTCACATGGACAGAGCTGAAATGGAAAACAAACAGAAAAGCCAACACACCACAAGCATACTCACAGCACAATCTCACACATCAATGACGACCTCCGCCTTGCAGTTAAAGGTGTCCTCTTGACATTTTGCAACACTGTCTCCACTTGCTAGAATAACTCTTGCAGAATGCAACGTGACCAGAGCAGCACCTCGCGATACTCTACGCACATCCTCGTATCTACTCACCACCAATTACCACTGAAATCGCTTGTCAGTCATTCTGCCTCGGTTCTAGTAACGGTGACGTATGCGAACTTCAGTCGTTTACACTCTTTCTCCCCGGCGTGTCGGACCGCAGCTAACAATTATCTCCGTATGCATTTCATTCTCAGCAATAGCCTCCCCGGCGTATACGACCCATATGCTGTCTCTAACATCAATCGATTCATTCACGGATATAGAAGACAAGAAACAACTTCAGAAGTAATCACGACGAAAATTTTAACAAAATTATGCAATAACAACAAGGTACGAAAACAACGAGTTAACACAATTAATCCAAAATCACAAATTGAGAAGACACACCACTCGTATACACAAACAGTACAAATAACCTCGCGGATCATGTCTTGGTGGAATTCCTTTGAAGAATTGCAGGACTTACACCAGTACGCCTACAACCCTTCACAGGTTGACGATTGTAAGTTGTGGAATGTCCGGACACAATCAAGATTAACCAACATTTACAATAATTGGAACTCACACAATTATTTAACACAAACATGTGTACAATCAGCAC